TTGAGATGCTCTAAATGCTCCTCAAAAGTTTTTGAATAGATAGTAATATCATCAAGATATATTAAAATAAATTTGTTTTTAAGATCAGAAAAGATTTTATCTATAATTTGTTGAAAAGTAGCAGATGTATTTATTAAACCAAAAGACATAATATTAAATTCAAACAACTTATATTTGGTAATAAAGGCAGTTTTTTCATGATCCTCAGGCTTTATTTCAATTTGCCAATATCTACTAGCTAAATTGAGAGTAGTGAACCATTTAGTATCTTTAAGAATATCTAGAATTTCATCAATTCATAGTAAAGGATAAACATCTTGTTTGGTAATTTTGTTAAGCTTCCTGTAGTTAATACAGAGCCTTAATTTACCATTTTTCTTTTTTACTAAAACAACAGAAGAGGCCTATGGGCTTTTTGATGGAGATATAAATTCATTTTCAAGTATTAAAAAGAGTTTCTGTTAAATAAATTCATGTTCAGCTAGTGATATACAGTAGGCTTTTTGATAAATAGGTAGAACATTTTTAGTAATAATTTGATGTTAGTCCATAGTTGTTTTGCCTAAATCATTCATTCTCTTAGAGAACATATAGTCATTTTCAGTTAAAAATTGTTGTAATTGTAAATTATTTTCAGATGACAAATTTGTTTTCTCAAAGTTCTTCTTAGTAGTAAAACAACTTATTGCTTCCCTCACTTGTATATATTTTGGACATGTTTTTTGTAGTTAAGCACAATAACATTTAATAGTTCAAGGATCACTGGCTTGCTCAGAGTAAAAGTTATAGTTATCAAAAGATTCATTTTGGTATTTAACTTGGGTATTATTGATTTCAAGTATAGGTTTTTCATCAGAATTTTCTATAACTAAAAATCTTTTGGATTCTTCTAGTTTATCATCAGATGATTCATATTCATCCTCACTATATTCATTAGTTTTAACAACTAAAGTTTGATTATTTGAGTCATTAGACTCAGAGAGAATTTTTAAAGAAATAGGCTCACTATTATTATATTGTGACTTTTCTCAACATATAATAGGTAAAATATAAGATTTGTTTTCCCAAGTAAATTTAAATTATTTCTTTTTTAAATCAATGATACTCTTCACTTTGTTAAGCCAACTGACTCTAGCAATTATGGTATAATCTTGGGCATTATTTATTTCTACATCAATAGGGATAGTGATATCAGATAATTGAAAGGGTATATTATTAATAATTCTCAGTGATCATTTTTTTTACCATTAATATCAAAAAAATAAAGATTAGATGGTTTTTTAATAAACTAATTTAATTTGTTAGCAAAAGCTTTTAACATTACACTTGTAAGTGATCCTGTATCCAGAATTAAATAAAACAGAGTTTTATCAACACTGGTATTACAGTAAACTATATTCATAGCTTTCTTGAGTTTTGATTGTTCATTAGTAGAAATCAGTAAGCATGCTGATTTAAACTGATTTTGATTGTTAATAAAATTAGAATTATTGTCCTTTAAGATAGATGATTGATTATTATTATAATTATTTAATAAAGAAGTAGATTTAGAAAAAGAAATTGATCGATAGACACTACTGCTTTCACAGTATGCCTTTAGGAGTTTAAAGACTGTGCTGAGTTTTGAACAAAGTTTTGTAACTCCTCAGCAGAAAGTGTATAATATGTAGGTTGAGATTTTTGTTTATTTGAAGATGATTGTAATTAAGAGTTATTTTTTAATGGTTGATAATTATTATTGTTGGTTTGGTTATTATTATTATATTCAAAATTTCTTTTCCTTTGATTATTATTGCCAAAATTATTATTGTTATTCTTTTGATAGCAATCACGTGCACTATGCACAGATCAAATGAAGCCATATCAGGAATATACATATCAGATAAATATCGGGAATATATTGGGAGTCGATATGTCACCGATATTAGTTATTAAAATCATAGACATATCAGGATAATCGATAGGTCTATCGGAAATCCCGATATGGCTATCGAAATATTCATAAATATTTTGATATGTCTAAAAAATATAGATATAAAATCGGTAAAGTTTTTAACAATCAATAAAACTATCGATTAATTGTAATGCAGATGGTTAGGTAAATATTAATATATATCGGGAACTGATATGCCTCCGATATTAATAAAAAAAATCAGTAAATATTGGCTTACTTCGATATTGCTATTAACAGTCTGATAGCAATATTAGTATAAACCGATATTTTTTGATGTCAATAAAAAAACCGAGTTTTCTGTAGTATATAGTTATATTGCAAAATTTTGCATCTTTTGGGTGTATATGGCAAAGCAAAAGTTTAAATGCATATTGAAACTTCACATGTTATATCTTCACATTCGAAGTAATACTTGCTCCTGTTTTTTGTATCGCATGAGATTGTTAGTCTAACTTTTAATATGCGATATAGTGATTTATTTTCTCATAGTCGTCGCTTAATTGTTGATCT